TATATATATATATATATATATATATATATATTTTAGATTGTTAATACAAGTATATATACATATTATTAATATTATTATGCATAACACTAAGGGTGGTTTTGTAAACTTGCTTACACATAACTAGATGATAGTTACATTACAAACTATTCAAAACTAAGTACAATAACGTACTTATTTACAAACTATAGTTTTTCATACTCCTACTATAGTATTTACATGTTGGGTTGATATAAGTTCACTATTGGATTAACATGATTCGTTGGAGGTAAATAAAAAGTGACTACTATCTGACCACCTATGATAACGGGATTTTGTTGGGTTGGTGAAAATACAAAAGTTGATAATTCTATCCCCTGAAATGTAACGGCATTTGCAGACATGTCCATACCCTAACTAGTACCTGAAAAAACTACAGTAATAACGGAAGTGAAAGGACCTGGTATGGTTGGTAGATCCATCTATTTTTTATTATATTTAATTAAATATTTTAAACAAGAAAAATAAGGAGTGAGAACAATTATCCAATAGATATTAATAACAATATGCATAGAAATTTTAATATTAATAAATATGTATTAATTCTTCTAAAATAAAAATTTGAATTATACTTGTAGTGACTAATCAGGATAAATGAACATTGCCATAATATCAATCAACAAAAGGATATTTTACCTTGAATCCATAATATCAATCTCGGATAAATCCGTGGGAAAATCCGTCGGAAAGTTACCCACGAATTAAAATTCGTCGGTAAATATTTCAGACGAGCAATTTACCGACGGATTAGTGTCTGTCGGTAATCCGTCAGAAATGCGCTATTACCCACGGATTTTTGGCATTTCCCACGGATTCTGGCCGTCTATAATAGCGAATTTTCTTGTAGTGAGAAATTGATATAAAATAACTTGCTAACATGACATTTTAGAAATTAAGTTTTGGAATTCATGAAATTAAAATTTGTGATATTTGTGACAAATCTTTGAATTTTTATTTATTTAAATTTTGAATTTTGAATAAATTTTAGATTAAATATTTGTTAGTATTACAGTTTTATCTTTTATCTTTTGGTTTCAATTATTTAATGTAATATCAACAAATAGAGTTGTTAATAAATAAGATCTGTTAGAAATTTTTAATTGATTATAAGCTTATATATAGGTATCATCTTCTATAAATTTTATGGTATTTTTAATGATAATTTTTCATCTTCAATTTTATTTTTAATTTATCTGTAAGATTCTATTTTTCTACATTTTGCACTAAATATTTCCGATAGTGGTATCAAAGCTTGCTTCCTATGAGTTGTGAGAATTTTTTATTATTATTGAGAGTAAAACACAGTGATGTTAAATGCTAAATTGTGTGATTTATTGCTTTTATTGAGTGCTAAACATAGTGATGTTAAGTGTTAAATTGTGTGATTTATTG